CCACCTCTCCCGGCATAAAAAGAATGTAGCTGCCAGGAGAGGAGAGAGGGGGAATACTATACAGCAGGGGGGTCGGCAAACCTCTGGCCTCCATCTAAGGCAAAACTACAATCCCCATTAAACATCTGCCTCTGTGAGTCATGCCTGTGGCTGCCAGAGTCGTGCAATGCCTTACAGTAGTTGTAGTTCCGCAACAGCTGGAGGCCGAAATTTGCCCACCCCTGCTATAGAGGGCCACTTGAGTGACAGCTCTCGAGTCTGGTGACGCTGACATCGCATCCAAGATGGTGCCGCCCAGCAGCAGTCTCCGGGATTTTCAATGTCCGCACCAGGGAGGCCATTCAAAAGGAACTTTACCCAACAAAGACACCTTGAGAAATGTTCAGTAATGACTTCTAGATAATTGCCGGTGTTCTATCGAAAACTCCGACTTGTCGAGCTCTCCGACTGGGCGCGTCACGTCCGCTGACTGCCAGTAGGATATGTACATAGATGGAGCTGGTGCGCATGGGCAGAAAATCCTTCTCGCACTGTCTAACTATTGCCACTGCGCGGCTCATCGGATTCTATAACCTCGTACAAACTTAGATTTGTCCTACGTTATAGAAGCCGATAGCCGCGCAGGCGCTGTGGCAGCCGAGGTTGTAGAAAGAATCATGTGGCCGCGCAGGCCCTGTAACATAATATAACCTTTGATTAGGTTATAGAATCCGATGAGACAATAGCCACTGCGCCTGCGCAGCCATCAGCTTCTATAACCTAGTCAAAGGTTATATTATGTTACAGCACCTACGCGGGCACATGATTCTTTCTACAACCTCGGCTGCCACTGCGCCTGCGCGGTTATCGGCTTCTACCCTGTTTCCCCGAAAATAAGACCTAACCCAAAAATAAGACCTAGTACTATTTTTGGGAATAGCTAAAATATAAGACCTACCCCGAAAAAAAGACCTAGTTATGACCATTCCCAGGGCTGGTGGTGGCATAAGGGGGAACCTGAAGAGCCGCGGGAGAGGCAGGAAAGAATCAGCGATGCCAACTAAGCCAGCGCTCGAGGAAGTGAGGTGGCAGCGGAGGGAGCAGAGCCCCATAAGCCGATGCCTCCTCTATAGCGCCGGCTCCTGTCACAGGCGGAGTGATACCAAATGCACTCCGCCTGTGAGGAATCGATAGTGAAAATGCGCTTTGCTCATTCTGGTTACCAAATTGCTCTTGGAAAGGTACGGCACCCCTGATTGCCCTGATCATCCTATTCGTAACTTTGCCATTTTGGATTATTTAATTTGGATTTGCATTAACTTTGGATTGTTATACATAAAAAAAAAAAATAAGACCTACCCCCGAAAATAAGACCTGGTGGGTTTTTTTTGAGCCAAAAAAAATATAAGACAGTGTCTTATTTTCGGGGAAACACGGTATAACCTAGGACAAAATATAACTGCAGTAGGTTATAGAAGTGGATAGCCACGCAGGCTCTGTGGCAATAGTTAAGACAGTTCGACAAGGATTTCCTGGGCATGCGCACTAGACTAGCACCCTCTGCTGTACATCTCCTACTGGCAGCCACCGGATGTGACGTCACCAGTTGGAGAGGTCGACAAGTTGGAACTTTTGATAGAACACCGGCTTTGAACTCTTTGCATATCTTATTTCTCTTTTCCTCCCCAGTCTTCTCACAGCGGCCATTTTTTTTTTTTTACTAAGGGCAGATTGCTATATCTCCATTTACTTCCTGGAACTCTGACATGTGACTAGTACATGTGACCAGGACATGTGACCATGCACATCATCTCAGGGGAGGACAATGCCTTTTCCCTGAGATCTCGTGAGATTACAGATGAGATTTGCCAGCAATGCTCTGCCGATGTAACCTTCCCAGGATGCAACGCTTAGGCACAGATTACATCATTTGTACCCAAGAGGACCAGGAAGTGGAAAAACAGCAACAGGAAGTAAAATAAAAAGATATTTGTTTAACTAATGAATGTCGGATGATGGAGAGCTGAACGGCGATGTGATCTTTAGTGAAAGGGGGTAAAGGTCGGCTTGAAAGGTAACATTTTAGCTAGTTTGCATTATTTACGAACTGTCTGAAAGGGTGCAGACAACTGCGACGTACCGGCATCCCTGGAAAGAAAAGTGTTACGATAAGTGAAAGGAAAATAATATATATTTTAAAGCAGATACAAATCTAACATTCGCCAGTGACAACATTACAGGAAACTGTTCAATGCAAGCTGATATTTTAGACCTAAAGGTGACAACCAAAGGCCTTCTTCTGCAGACAGGAAGTGAGCGGTGTTCCTGAAAATCTCTCCCCACCTTCGTTTAAAAGTTTCCTCAACCAGAGGCTGCCGCTGATGCTTCCGGACTGTTGTCACTCTGATCTTGTAGCTTTAATAGCCGGAACAAGCATCAACATCAGGACATTTGTGATCTGATCGATGGTTCCAGGTCAGTGACAGACTGTCCAGAAGCTGGAGACAGCAAGGCTACTAGGAGCTCCCATGGTGCTTCCTATAATATTCTTTGCTCTGATGACTTCCTGATATATTAAATTATCTCCCTATGAAGAGGACAAAATCTAACGTGTTCATTGATCTTTAGGTTTTTAGAACTAATATACACCCAGAAATGTTCCCACACGGTCAAAGCAGAGACAAGGTCGGACAATGCTGGATGGAGATAGATTTCTGCCCTGGAGACAGGTTGAAGCAATGATAAGAGATGGTTGCCAGCCCTGGAGATGGGTTAAAGCAGGGATGAGGATGGGGACAGAGGCGGGATGGAGATGGGATGAAGAAGGGAAGGAGATGGGTGCCAGTCATAAAAATATTATGGAGATGGATAACAGCAGGGAGATAGATGTGATGGAAATGGGTGCCAGCTGTAGAGATTGTTTGAACAGGGATGAGGATAGAGATGGGACGGAGACGGGCAACGCCCCCTGAAGATGGGACGGACATGGGTACTGATCCCCTGGAAATGGGTAGAGGCCCCCTGGAGAAGGGATGGAGCTGGATACTGACCCCCTGGAGATGGAAAGGAGATGGGTACCGACCCCTGGAGATGGGTACCGCACCCCTGGAGATGGGTACCGCCCCCCTGGAGATGGGTAGAGGCCCCCTGGAGAATGGATGGAGATGGGTACCGACCCCCCTGGAGATGGGTAGGAGATGGGCACCGGCCCCCTGGAAATGGGTAGGAGATGAGTACGAGATGGGTATCGACCCCCTGGAGATGGGATGGAGATGGTTAGGAGATGGGCATCGGCCCCCTGGAGATGGGTACCGCCCACCTGGAGATGGGATAGATTGCTGGCCAATCTCAGATGGAAGGGAGATGGGTTGAAGCAAGGATGAGGCTGGTTATTGGATGAAGCGGGGGTGGAGATGGATTCTAGTGTTGAAGATGGGAAGAAGCAAGGATTAAGAGAGGATAGGGATGGAGACTGGTATTAGTCCTAAATATGGGATGCAGGTGGGTGGCATTCCTGACAATAGAAAGAAGTAGGAATGAACATGGGAGAAAGTTGGGTACCAGTCCAGCAGATGAGATGAATTAAGGATGAAGAGAAGACAGATGTCCACCAGCTTTAACAATGGGATGGTACCAGCCCTGGAGATGCCATGGAGGGACCGAGATGGTACCAGCCCTGGAGATGCCATGGAGGGACCGAGATGGTACCAGCCCTGGAGATGGTGTAAGGTTTGGTACAAATTTGGGAGACTGAATGAAGACGGGTACTAGCTATAGATGAAGCCAAGGATGAAGATGAAAAGAAGCAAAGATGGGTGCCAGCTCCAGAGCTTGGCTAAGGTAGCTTTGAAGACAGGATGAAGATGTGTGGCAGCCCTGAGGAAGGGATGGAGATGTGTCCCAGATCTAGACATCTGATGGGGATGATGATGATGTGAGATGGGTACCAGCCCTGGAGATGATATAAGATTTGGTACCAAGTTTTGAGATGGGTATCAGCCAGCCCTGTAGGTACAAAGATTGGATAAAGATGGATGCCTATCCTGGAGATGGGATGGAGAAGGGGATAAAGATGGGTCTCAGTTCTGAGGATGGCATGGGTGCCAGTCCTGAGGAGGATAAAGATGGTGTTGGGTGCCAATCCAGAAGATGGGATGGAGAACAGAAAAAAAGACGGGTATTAGTTCTGAGGATAGGATGGGTGCAGGTCCTGAGGATAAGCATGGTGATGGGTACCAATTCTGGAGATGGGATGGAGAAGGGAATAAAGATGGGTCTCAGTTCTGTGGATGGGATGGGTACTGATACGTAGGGTAAGGATAGGGATGAAGATAGGTCTCAGGTCTGTGAATGGGAGCCAATGCTGAGGATGAAGATGGGTCTCAGTTCTGAGAATGAGAATAGGGATGAAGATGAGTCTAAATTCTGAAGATGAGGATAGGGATGAAGATGGGTCTCAGTCTTGAGCATGTGATGGGTATCGGTCCTGAGGATGAGAATAGGGATGAAGATGGGTCTCAGTTCTGAGGATGGGTGCCAATGCTGAGAATAAGAATAGAGATGATGATAGGTCTCTGTCCCGAGGATGAGGATAGGGATGAAGATGGGTATCACTTCTGAGGATAAGGATAGGTATGATGATGGGGGTTGGGATGATGATGGGTCTCTGTCCTGCAGACATCAGAACACATATGGTAATAAGAGTGATGCTGCAAACCCATATGGAGGATGATCTGAGGAAACTTGCCCCATTGTCCTCCATGCAGTAACTGCTAGAGGGGGTCTGGAGGATGGATGTTGCCGGAGGATGGGAGGTCTGCAGGCTGGGGTAAGTTGTGTGCGGGGTGCAGACAATAGTGGTGGACATGGAGCAGAGGCCCAGCTCAGACAAGTGTCTCCCCCCCCCCCCGACATGTCATCACATTGTGCAGCCTCGGTGCAGTCAGTGCTGCCTCCATTGTCAGTGCTCCCCCCTCCCCTCCCCGGGCTCAGGCCTCACACACAGCCGGGGGGTCTCCTACCATTGTGCCGACGTCTCACACAGGGCAGAGGGAAGAAAAGCTGCTCCGGGCCGCTCCACACGGGGCTCCCTCTGTCCATGTACGGCCTGTGGCTGCTCGGGCCCCCCGCTCCGCTGGCGCCTCTTATTGTCCTACATGCCGCCTCCCTCCCGGGCATCCCTCTGCCAGCGCCATGTTACATTCCCGGCTCTGCCCGGCCTCTCCAGAGCTGGGGGTGTGCTGCACGGGGCCCGCTCCTCATTGGATGGCCACTGTCACATGGCCTGAGGAGCCGGGACCTCCCCCTCTGCCTCGGAGAGACAAAAAAATATAAAAGGGGAGGGGCCGGAGAGAGAGAAACACACAAGGAGAGAGATACATTGTAACAGAGAGAGGCGGGGGAGGGGATATTGATACATTGTAACAGAGAGAGGCGGGGGAGGGG